GCAACCTTGATCAGACATCTGTCTTGGAGACAGCTGAACATGTTCAGCAGTAACTCAGAGGAATGATCCTGTGCTTTTTAAATCCGTAGCCAGAGTGGTGGTCTGGCTTTGGTGGAATTGCAGAAAAAATGGGCCCAAATCAAACCCAATGGCTTCAGAGCTGATCTTGAAAGCCACTGTACAACTCTTCTAGGGCAGGAGGCAAGGTCTTCCATGCCACCAGATCCAAGAGCTCACTGAACGCAGGCTGAATTACAAAAAAACTGCTGGTAATGTAACTGCTTGCTCAAAAAAAAAAAAGGTTAAACAACAATTATGTGAAATTAAAAGGTAATTTTCACATCATGAATAAGAATTAGTTCAATTTTATACAAATAAAATACAAAAGAAAGAAGCCTTGAATAATGAGGGGCTAGTTGACAGAGGTGAAAAAACCCAGGATATTAAAAATGTGTATTCTTGAATCCTACATTTACACATTATATTTATATATGATACGCTCAGACTTCCATTTCATAGTGCTAATGAATCTGTATGTAATTAACATCCTATCACTCAGCTCAGGAGAGTGTTAGAAAAGTCTTCTCGAGGTACTAAATAATCACACGGGGCGGGAGGGGGAAGAAGAAAATCAGACATTTTGATAAAGTGCTTTTCTTTTTAGTTTTTACACCATTAATCTTTGCTTTTCAGCAAATTGAAGGCATCTTCCAGACAGAGGCTCTATTCAGGTGTCAGGTGTGCTGATTCAGCATGCCTAACATCTGTAAACCAGATGGGCACGTTGGGACTGAAACGGCCCTCCGCGCTGATCCCTGCTAGTCCAAACAGCAGACCAGGGAGTAGTCGGCTCAAGGCAGCTGTCAGAGTCCAAAACAGTGATTGTGGTGCAACACTCCCTGCTGATTACTATCTCTCTTGTGCTATAACTGCCCTCTCCCCGCTTCTAGTTTAGTGCTACAATCTTCTAAAGGCCCTACGTAATCATTACACTGGGGGGGGGGACGAGAACTAAACCAGCTGTGGAGAAAGCTGCCATCTGGTTTTCAAAAGTGTAAGCTGGAACGCTTACAGAGGGAACAAGATGAAGAAACAGAAATGAAGTGATACACCATGAGGGGGGGAACCAAGGGAAGTGCAGTGAAAGTCTGGAGTAGTAGGTAAAAATATTCTTAAGGCAGCGTGTTATGTAATTGGCATTTTGACAGCATCTGGGGAAGCCCCCCTCAGCTTCCAGAAAGATCTTGATTTATTTTTTTAAAAGGGAGAATTTTCAAAAGTTTTTGAAATGCTGAGGTCACACAAGATTACAACATGATTTGATTGCTTAGCCAGCTTTGGATGCCTAGACAATCCCAAATAGCTGCCACAGTTTCAGTTTAGAACCTGAAGGTGATGGGGGTGGGGGATGTGTCAGCAGATAGGAAAGACAAATCCGATGGGGTAAGCGAGGGGAGTGGGAGGGAGGAAAGAAAACTGGAGCAAAGGGGAATAAATGGGCACTGGGGGGAGAGAAGAAAGCAGGAAAAGACACTGGAAATATAGCATGGGGTCATACCAGATTCCTCCCCTGTGAGTCCTCATGGTTTCCCTGCTTGAATTTACTAACTTCAGATTCTGGGGTTCATAAGCCTTCCAGGCATATGGTTGGTTAGGCCCATGGGGTCTCCATAAATTCTCAAAGCCAGGACAACCAGATGTTGAACGCTATTCAAAGAATCTCAGTCAAAGGGTTGCTGTCCATAAATATGTCATGTTCCTGGACTGGAGGAGTCCAGTTACTTTTTTGCCCAATTGATCTTACAATGGAATTCCGAGTGTCGCCTTGCTTCCAATATTGGTGCCCCCTGCAAAATGGTGTCTTGAGCAAATTGTATCCTCTTCCATCGGAATTAGGTGCCTTGTTTAACCTTCATTCTATTTGGCATCCAAATAGATGGATACCGATTTACCTTGAGAGCCAGTTTGGTGTAGTGGTTAAGTGCGTGGACTCTAATCTGGGAGAGCCAGGTTTGATTCCCCACTCCTCCACTTGCACCTGCTGGATGACTTTGGGCAAGCCATAGTTCTGGCACAGCTGTTCTTGAAAAAGAGCAGTTCCTGTCAAGAGCTCTCTCAGCCCCACCTACCAAGAGTTTGTAAGCCGCTCTGAGACTCCCTTGGGTAGTGAAGGGCGAGGTATAAATCCAATCTCTTCTCTTCTTCTTCTACCTTTCATTCCTGATTTTTCACTCTGTCAGGGTTTTCATTGTATTATTTTATCCCCCTGCAGAAAGGAGGGTCCTACCAATCTTCTCCTATCAGGGCACCAAACCCTTGGAGCCTATACTGAGAAGGCCCTGCTCTTTCCAGCCACTGTTCTAACCCTCCAGCTCGTGAGCAAGACCCTACTAGATATGTTTAGAAGTTGAGGTTATCACAACAGGTTGACGTAGATTTGTTTTCTGATTCTTTTACGTTTTAGCTTTTCCAGCCCTAAGGGTTTTCGAGTAGACCATGACCAGGTATATAGAATAAATACCTAACCAAAATGCTAATGCTTTGCATGAAAATATCTTTAAAAGGCAGTCTTAATTCCAGCTGCCAAAAACATGTTCATATGGGATGACCTTGTGATGACTCTGAAAAATACCGATCACATGGAGAATGTCATGAAACTCAGAGCTAGCTGCGGGCTTCTTCCTGCTGTTATTGGGAAAGCTGCTTTAGGCTCTCTCCTCGTTGGCATCCCACCTTTCCTCATGGATCTCCCAGAAGCTTTGCTGGTGATCCTGTGAAGTATTATCAGCAGGGCTCCAGTGAATCTGGAAAAGAAAGGAAAGGATCGGATAGCCATGGTCAGGCACACCTGTGCCTCAGGGAAAACATTTAAGTGGTGTCCCACTGCACCAGATCAGGAGCTTCGAGTCTCTTCTTTCCCCCGTTATGCCTAGTTTTGAATGACTGAATCATGAGGAATCTTCCTTTACTCCTCAGTTGCTCACAGCCCCATAGAGCCCCACCAAAGGACAGGGAGTAGCTACCTGTTTTGCATGCTAAAGGTCCACAGATTCACTCCCTGGTTCTCCAACTAAAGTATCTCAGGGAGCAAGTATCTGGAAAGACCTTCCTTCCCCTGATACCTTGGATACTCCCTGCCAATCACAGAAAATAGTGAGTTGGGTAGGCCAGTAGTGCACTTCCATTATAGAAACACCTTTCTATGGCTGCTTCCACGAAGAGTTGCTCTCTGTGTTGCTCTGGTTTCTGCTGCAAATGCAGAGGCTAACAAAGCATTCACCCCGGCAACAGGTCGATGTGGCACTTTTCCTTGCACTTTCATTGCTTCAGCCCCCTATACTCACCACTCCACTGGAAGTCTTTTTTTTTTTAAAATGTGGACTTTCTAGATTGCTATAAGATTATAGAGTTATAATGATCTATTGCCAGGATTTACTATTCACCAGTTTTCTTTTTTTAAAAAAAAGTAAGCCATTTGCCAAAAAAAAAAAAGCAAACCATTAAAAAAAGATGCGCCCTCCCTGGCCCCACTGTGGCCAGCCGCAGACCAAACAGACCCTTTTTAAAAGACAGACGCGAATCACCTTACCCCCATGAGAAGAAGCCACAAATCACCCACCCACCCCCTGACAGAATAATAATGGCAGCCCCACTAGAAAAAAATTTGCCCCAAAAGCCACAAAATCCTGACTACAGGCTTGGTCCTAACTATGTTCTGGATCCAGAGCTCCCAGCATGTGTTGTTGTTTTAAACTTGCTTGTCAGGCATGCAAGGCCCCGGTTTTCCTTCCCCCCCTCCCCCCCAGCCATTTTCCCTATCAAATACAGACCTGGGAGATTGCTATTCACCCCACTATGAAAATGTACATGTGCATGATACCAAAACACACACATTTTCACAAGCTGCAGTCTGGGATGTGTTAGGGATGAGGCATCCTGTGTCAGGGCAGGACAACGGATTAAGTAACTGATGGGTCGATTTTACTTGAAGAGTCTGTTTGTGTTCTTTTGTCCAGGACAGGCTCACTGCAGCAACCGTGCACCACATATGATATTTGTGATGCCGTGTGCTGTCCGTCTGCTGCTGGCCTGCAGCCCAACTTGCTGCATCCAGTCAACTACCGAGTGCTTACTACTGCTCTATACTAAACTGTTGTGGCAGTGCCACTTCTCATAAAATGTCAGCGTTGCTTCCACTTGCCTTAACCTTGCAAAACCTTATTGGAAAATCTTCAGACACAACAGTTTTATGATTAAGTCAGCTAGGAGGGCTTTTGAGAGAGAGAGAGAGAGAGAGAGAGAGAGAGAGAGAGAGAGAGAGAGAGAGAGAGAGAGAGAGAATGGCAAAAATATTTTGACTTGTACATGGTTGATTTGAAAACCATGGAGACTTTACCATGGAAAGGTACAAGGTCTGTAACAAAAGACAACAGAGAAAGTGAAGACTTAAGAAGAGCACACTGCTATGTATATTCAGGCAGGAATGATATGCATAGCAGAGTACCCTTCTTATGTCTTCACTTTCTCTGTTGTCTTTTGTTATAGACCTTGTATCGTTTGAAAACCATGGAGACTGTACCATGGAATGATACAAGGTCTATAACAAAAGACAACAGAGAAAATGAAGACATAAGAAGGGCACACCGGCCGCTATGTATATCAGGGCAGGAATATGGATTGTACATGTGTTTTGGACTTGCATAGATTTCTAGTGCTATCTCGTAATGAAAGCAATTGATTTCTGACCCTTCACTTTCCAAAGCACATAATACTTGTGTTACCAGTTACTGAAATAGTGAAGTAATTTGGTATACGTAGTGGAGTGCTGAGTGCTGGCGGAGGAGGAGGTGTGTACCCCAGGGAATTGATGCAACCAGGTTGTTGGGCAGGCAGAGTGTGAACGCAGCGAAACTGACAGGCATATGTGCTCCTACTGCCCACTTTTGTTGTGTCATGAGCTTCTCTTTGGATCACCATCACATTTGGGTACCCAGGTTGCCATGGTGGACCACATGATATCGATGAGCCATGGAGTGAATGGGCTGCAGGGGTACTGGATGAGGGTGAATGGCCTGCAGGGCCCTCCCCAACATGGACAGCACATGCTAAGGACGATACCTGCCAACCACCAGATGATGCAATATGGAAACCCAAGCCTGGATGCTGGCATGAGGCAGTGGCCACGCATCAGTGGACAGATGGGGCATCACCAGGTGCCAAACGCCATGACGTTCAACAATCCCAACCAGCAGCAGCAGCAATGCATGGGACCCGTAGGCACTCAGCAACTTACGGCTAGCATGCACTTTCAGAAACTCAATACCCAGTACCGGGGCCATCCTCTCATGGGCATGAGATACAGGCCTGTAGGAACAGGTGTGCAGCAATACAGAGAGGGGCCCGGCCAGCATCCTGGCATGGAGCATATCCCCATTCCCGCTTTGACCTTGAACATTATGGGCACAGATCTCATTGACAAAGAGTTTTTGAGCTCCTTGGTCATGGAACTGGGTTTGGTTTCTGAAGGAATTTGGTCAGCTTATTATTTAAAATGAGCCTGGTGACTAGTACCAACAGAGGTCTTTATTAACATGTATGAACCCAGGCACAAGAACATCAGTTGGTTTAGCATCAGCTGTGACCAGCGTACAACTGAGCTGAGCTGCCTACACTATGCAGTGGGTTGGCTGAACATCAGTTGTATACTAATGCACAACTCAGTTGTGGGACTCAGACTACAGTATGATATCGCTGGTGCAATTGATTGTCAAACTCGCTTTCCATTTTATGGCTCGCTTGCCATAGAAGTTGGGAAGGGGAGTGTGAATTCTAAATACTTTCGCTTTCAGATGCTTTGAAGTAGATTGTAGATTAGCATGCCTGGGAACATCCACCAGCCTTGGGTCTCAGTTTACACTGTCTGGCTTTTGTCTATGTGATGGGGGAATGTCACCAAGGTGGGAATACAGAGCCGTTGGTTGGGGCAGGTGGAATACCTGGAGGTGATTGGCTTGTAACCTTTTAAGGTCCCTGTTTGAACCTTGTATATCTATTGCTTTTGCGCCTCCATTTTCAGTTCTTTTTTATTATTTAAATTTTTTATTGTTTTAAGTCATAACTATAACAGATAAAGCTACAACATGCTGGAGATATACATGTTATCGTTTGAAACATGACATATTTAAACATTGTTCAGGAACATGTATACTCACATAGTCCGAAAATATTAAAGATATAGACAATTTATAGTTTTGCAGCAGTAAATCATATGAATACTTGATATTTTGGAACAAAATAAAATATAAAAAATATAATAAACAGAGTTTCTAAATTAAGGGTAAGTATTACTTACATACCTGTATATAGAAATAACCGGATGAGGAGACGTCAGTTCAACAAAGAGAAAAACATTAAATCCATTTATGAAATTGGGACCATTCAGAGGTAATAAATTGCTGATTGGACAAATAATCTAAAACTAGCTGAAACTTTTTCTGCCCCGACATCTTTGTTTTATTGTTTACTTTTTAAAAGTTCGTGCCGCGCAACTGACAAATGAGTCTATCTGTTTTTCTTTCAACAATTCACCAAAAGGTAACACCACTCTTTTGAAATTTCACTCCCCCCCTCTTCTTTCTGTTAAATCAGTCTCTGTTTAATCGGGGGTGGGGGGCTCTCCCCCTCCTCCCTTGCACTTTTTCGTTGGGGGGTGTGTGTGCTTCGCTCTTTTTCCCATTCCCGATCGGCAACTCACAGTTTTGGCCGAATATCTTCCATTCAAACGCTTTTCCGCTTCATCACTCGGTGACGTCCGGCGGCTCTGCTAGTCCCCATACGGGGCACTTTCGCGGCAAGAGCCATTGGGGCATGGGGGGAGCCTCAATTTCCGACCTTCGGGCCGGGAAAGAGGCACATCCCCTGTGCACCCCGGATCGGAACCTCTGTCTGAGGCTCCTTAGGGTCTCTGCTTGTGTGGATTCCCCCTCTTAGCCGCACATGGGCGAATCGCCTCCGGGAGCTTCCCGAAGTTGCGACCGCTATTCACAGAGTCCAGACCGGAAGCCTCAAACATTCTAGTAATGGTTGAGCCAGTACATCTGTTATTTTAAGGGAGAATGAGACTACCCATTTGTAAATACCAAAACCATGGTACGGTCTTACCCAGTTGCTGTTCAGTTGTAGCTTTACTTTTCATGCCTTGTTTCGTGGTAATATCTATAATGCGAGACATGTTTTGTTTTCTCCAATAGTTTTCTATGCTATGTTCTGTGGCGGGAAGAAACCAGTTTTGATTCAAGAACGTCAAGTATCTCGATATTTTAGGTAAAAAGCTCTTAGCATATCTCTTCCAGCACTGAATAGCCGGGTAAAGCACTGCTATTGTATCTTTTGGTACAGCAGAGAAGCTCCTCTGAGACCATATCAAATCTGCCAAGTAATGTGGGTATAATAAATCATCATAGATTTCCAGCCAGTTAGGTTTGTTGGATGATCTTCACATTTTAATATTTAAGGCCATTAAAATTGCACGATTGTACCGCATTAAGTCAGGGAGAGCATATCCTCCCATTGATCTGGGTCTTTTAAGTATAGTGAAACTTATCCTGGTTCTTTTCTTGTCCCATAAAAATTGGGACAGTGTGTCTTGCCAACGTTTAAAGATTGCAAATGGTATATCCAATGGGATTGTCCTAAATAAAAAGATAAATTTGGGTAGAATGAAAGATTTAATTAGGTTAAATTTTTCAATCCAATTTAAGTTCATTTTGCTCCAATTACTCATCGTGTTACTAATCTCTGTATACATCTGTTGATGATTAATTTTTAACATCTCAGTTTGCACCAGAGGAATATGTATACCCAGATAATCTAAGGCTTTAGGTACCCAGTGAAATTTGTAGCATTTTTTTATCTCATCCACCTCTGTTTTAGACAGATGTGCTGCCAGGATTTGTGATTTGCTATCATTAATTCTCAACCCTGAGATCAAGCCGAAACCCTCTAAAAGTTGTTGTAAAGCTGGGAGAGATGTTGTTGGTTCTGTAATGTACAGAAGCATATCATCTGCAAATAATGATATTTTATGTTCCTTGGAGTGTAATTTAACTCCTGAGATTTCTGTGTGTGCTCTGATAGCATTGGCTAGTGGTTCAACTGCTAAAGCAAATAATAACGGAAACAAAGGGCATCCTTGCCTTGTTCCGCGAAGTAATGGGATTGGATTGGTGAGCGTTCCATTAATTTTAATCTTAGTTGTAGGTGAGGAGTATATAGTTCTTATTGTATTTATAAATCTGTGACCAAAGCCCACTGTTTTTAGTATTGAGAAGAGGTACTGAAATTCCATCGAATCAAATGCTTTTTCAACATCAAGCGATAAAAATATAGCTTTTTTTTAGATTTGTGACAATGATTAAAAAGGGATAATGTTTTGATAGTATTGTCAGCAAGATCTCTCCTAGGTATAAATCCTACTTGATCAGGTTCTATATATTCCACTATGAATGTGTTGATTCTTTTGGATAAGGCTGTTGTTAAAATTTTAAAATCCTGGTTTAGGAGGGAGATAGGCCTATATGATGCCGGATTTAAAGGATCCCTTCCCTTTTTTGGTAACACTACTGTTTGTGCTTCTCTCCATGATGGAGGTATTTTCCCAAATAATAGGACATCATTGCATGCTTCAGTTAAAGGTCCTGCTAAAGAAGACATGAAAGTTTTATAGAATTCAGACAGAAAGCTGTCTGGGCCTGGAGATTTGGAACATTTGAGATATTTAATTGTGTGTATTATCTCCTTTTCTGTAAAAGGTTCTTCCATCATAGATTTGTGATGTAATTTCAAGTTTGGGAGTTTGGCATGATCTTGTAGAAATTGATCTATCTGTGGTTGCTTGGGATTAGTGGAAGAGTATAACATCTTATAATAATTTTCAAAGACTTTACATATAGAGTCTGATTGGTTGAGTCACCTTGAGAATTTTTTATTATTGGTATCCGATTAGAAGACATTTGCATTTTAATTTTGCGTGACAGGAGATTTAAATACCTAGGTGTTCTAAACCAATATTTTTGTTTTGTAAAAACCAATTGTTTTTTTATTTTGGCTGTTTCCAGCTGTTCTAAACTCCTCTTTGCCTTCAGAAGTTGTTTATAGACTTTTTTTGCTGGCCTTTTGTTTGTGTTTTTGTTCTAATATTCTGATTTGTTCTGCAAGATCAAATTCTAATTTTTGTCTCTGTTTCTTTAGAAAAGCAGTTTTGGAAATCAGACTACTCCTGAGTACTGGCTTAAGAGCATCCCATCGTATGGCCGAAGATGTATTTTCTTGCAGATTATCTTTAAAATATTGTTTAATCTCCTTTTCTATTTCTTATTTCGTATGGCCGAAGATGTATTTTCTTGCAGATTATCTTTAAAATATTGTTTAATCTCCTTTTCTATTTCTTATTTCAATACTGAATCTGCCAATAAAGAAGTGTTTAATGACCACTGTCTACTTTTCTTTGAGTTATCATTTGGAGACAATATACAGTTCAACCATGAGTGATCAGACCAGTGTGATGGTTCAATTGACGCTGAGACAGTTCTCTGTTGCAATGAAGATGAAATTAAAACATAATCAATTCTGGTGTGGACCTTATGATAGTCTAAGTAATACGTGTAATCTTTGACATTGGGATTTAATACTCTCCATATGTCAATTAAGTCATTTCCTTTAAAAACATCCCCCAGTCCTGTGTATCTGTTACTATTTTTCTTTAGATGTGTTTTGAAATGAGATTTGTCCATTTGTTTATCAATGACAAGGTTGAAGTCACCTCCTAGTATCACATCTCCAACCGAAAAAGTATTCAGTTTGCTTATGGTGTCTCTTATAAAAGCTAATTGATTATCATTAGGAGCATAAATAGTTGCAATCGTGGTTGGTTTATTATCAAGAAGGCCCTTCACAAATAAAAATCTCCCTTGTGGATCCCTTAATTTGGATGTAAAGGAGAATGATATATTTTTTGACAATAATATTGTCACACCTCTGGATTTGGATGTCCCTGCTGCTGTATATTGAAATGGGAATTTGGCTGATATAAAAACTTGAGTTTCCTGTATTTTAAGGTGTGTCTCCTGGAGAAGTACAATATCTGCCTGATATTTTGATAATTGAGTTAAAATGCATTTTCTTTTGATCACGTTGCCTAGCCCTTGTACATTGGAGGATATTACTTTCAATACATTAGAAGCCATTCTGGTTAACTATCTTATTGTAATATAGCTGAAAGTAAATATTGTCTGGATTTCTTTATGTGTTTTTCCAGGGTGTCTGTGGTTGTGGAAAGTGGTTTACCCAATTGGCAGTTCTCTTATGATTTCCTCTTCTTAAAGGCTCAGCTCTGGTTTCTTTTTTATTCCTATGAATGGCCCCTAAACAAATGGGAAGAAAATAGGTTGTGTAAAAAATTAATAAAGACCAGACTAACTTTATAAAATAAAATATTTTAAGGTATTATGCTTAGTATTAGAATGTTATGTCTAGTACCTCTATTTAATCTAGATTCCAGATGAAAATACCCTTAATAGTATATAAGTTTCTGTAAAGTTTGTGTTATAATTTGCAGCAGTATTAAAAAACAAAAGTTGATTAGATTAGTTTCGCTCTTTTCTAATTTTGTGAGTGACTTGTCAGCTTATATAATACAAACAATCCCTCTTTTCTTATAGTAATAATATTTCTCCCTTTTATTGCTCTTATACTCTTTTAAGTGAAATGTAAAATTGATTAAACTCTGATAGACGTCTCTTTGTTATACTAGCTGTATATTACAATGAATTGAAACTGATTAGATGAACTGTGTTACCCCTGTTGATTTATTATATCTTAGGCACCAACAATATCTCAGTATATTTTCTATGTGCAATTAAAACAATGTTCACAATTAATTCAGTTACAAAGGTAATTATCAGGTATTAAAGTTTATTTGTAAAAAGAAAAACACCCCCCCAAAAAAAACCCCCAGATATAACAATACTATCTCTGTATTGTTATTATAGAAATAGATATATGCGAATTTTTATTTTAATACTTAAAAAAGAACAACAGCAAACAAAAACTCTGATTGTTACACAAAGTAAAGTTCACTTGTATGTGTTCTCAACGCTTCTGCAATCACCTAATGTGCTGCAGAAGACCAGGTTTGTGAAACCCAGTGTATGCTCTTGAGAACCTATTGGTAATCAGTACAGCAGCTCACAGGTAGTGATCTGAACGGAGGCCTCTCCTGTCCATCTCTGACAGTTTGTCTAAGAGTTCACCCGGGTCTTCACATTAGCCCCTACCATTTTTAAATTTCTGGTTCAACTTTAAGCTTGAGAAACCAAGGGGCTGCAAACATTCCCCTCTTTTTGGACTTTCATTCCTCCTCAGACACAATCGAAAGAACAGCATGTTAACCAACCTTATTTCTTTTCCCACTCCCCCCGTTTCTTAAACTCGAAATGATACCTCACTTAAGCTGAGTCTAAACTTGCTAGGGCTAAACCCCAAAAGGGGAGTAGGATTTCTCAGCCCCTAAAACTCAGTGAAGAAAGATTTGAGGAAGAGCCTTTAAGAATGTGTAAATCACCTTTACTTCACCACTGGTGAACCACAGCTAGGACATTTCCCCAGACCAAACAAGACGTCTAAAGCAGGTATAATCCTCAGCACCTCTCGCTTTAAAGAGTCCAGGGGAAAAGAGTGTCTCTGAGCATGTCATAGTTCAACTCCGTAACTGTTGGCCAGTAAGGAGTGCCAGGTACTCCCTGGCCACCAGCAGGGCATGGGGGTGTAGGGTTGCGTTCTTCCCTCTTCTAACGAGGTGATCCTATGTATCTTCCCCATGTGGGTGAGTTGTAAAATGAAGGGCGAGATCCATTTGTATCATCGGTTGGCCTCCATAAGGCATGCAGTAATCGGCTTTAGTTCCCGCCTTTTCCCCAAAGCCTCCGGTGGTAGATCTTGGTAGATTTCGATTCTTTCGCCATTGTATTTGAGGTGGCCTTGATGCCTTGCCATTTGTAGAATCAGATGTTTAAATCTCAAATCTAATAA